TATATATATATATATATATATATATATTAATAATTCGGAGGATATACCATAAATCTGAGTTATCCTTTTCTAAATCAGACTTATGGTATATCCTCTTAATTTGGCAATAATATACCAATAAAGAATTGAGTTTAAAAAGCTAGAGATACTGATACCTCTGAACTAGTAATAAAATTGATAATATTTTAAGAAAACCAGAGAATATGAATGATTTAAATTATTATCTATGAGAAGGAATATGATAAATCTTCACTGAAGGTTTTTTTCACCTGGAGAGAAGACTGGTTTCCTGTTCCACGAAGTGCAAGAAGCAGAATGTGGTGATTCTAACATTATCTACAGAGGTAGGATATCTGAAAGTGGAAGGAAACTCAGAGGCTGATAACCACAAACTGACTGGACCTGACAAGATGAATACACAAAATGGGTATATTTCCTTAAAATAAATGTAATGTGACCCACATGTCAAAGATCTGGGGAAGGAAATGTAGGAAATGTAATACTACCTTAAAGAAGAATAGAATACTATCGTGAGATGGCTATTTCTGAAACTGTAAAATTTATCACTTAGTTTAAAAGACTTTTTGCTTATAAAGTACACAAATAGGACTTCTTTATTACACCCTGTCTTAAAAATGCTATTAAGCATATCAGAGTGAACTCAATCAGAAAGAGGGGGAGAGACTGAATTCCTGTTGTTAAAAAAAAAAATTCAAGAACAACAAAGGAAACAAAAGAAGTGAAAAGCAGGAAAAGGTAAGGGGAAACGGAAATAAGATTCTACAGATGACCCATGTTCTCTCTATTAGCTCAACTATTTATATTTCTATGTATTATTATTTATACTTAACAGCAAAAATAATCTATTGGTTTATTTCTTAAGAAACAAAGACACCACATATAAATTTAAAATAGCAAATAATAATAAAATTATGGAACTTCTTGAACAATTTTTCTTGTACAAATTAAAAGTTATTACTAGTATAAAAAAGATTTACATTGGAGAACATCTGAGAAAGTATGTAATATAGATAAAATAACATTTTAAAGTGATATACTGGAAAATGCTTTATAATGTATACCATGAGAATTTATTCTTCAGATCTATAATTTTAATGTATATGATTATAAGAAAATAGTAATTTAACACAAAATTATACTTACCAGGTAAAATATTTAAATAATTTCTCTCAGTATTTTTATTCTTATCATCACTTCCTCCATTTTGGTTTCCAGAATCTATTCATAAGATGATGCAACATGAAAGAATATAATAACATATGAAACATGTTACCACCACTATTTTCACAAGCACAATAACAACAAAAATTTACTAAGCATCTCTATGTACCAGGCATTCTATTACAAGTTTTACATGGATGGCCTCATTTAATTCTCACAATATCCTTATAATCAGAAACCCTAAGATGGTGGTAAGATTACTATTTTCATTTCTTTCCTTTTGGTGCTGAGGATTGAACTCAGAGTCTTGTGAGTGCTAAGCATCTACCACTGTATTGAACTCCCGGATCAATCTTTATTCTATACCTGAGGAAATAGGCTTAGATTAAGTTAAGTACCTTAATCAAATATGCATAGATAAGAGGTAAAATTGGATCTTAAACCCCACCCCCCTGCATACTCATATCCTAAATCCTATAGTCTTAACCACATCAGACTTTCCAAAAGTTTATTTTTCATCTGGAAGGTTCAAGGCACTAGGTTAACTACACATAAAATAACTTCATTAGATAGCTGTGGAGTGGCCATCTGTATTTTTAGAACATGAGTCACTGTTGTTGGTATAACTTGTTCAGGACTACAAACAAATGGCTTGTAGCACCAGGAATCACTTTTACTCAGCCCATTCCTGAAATTTATTTTTATTTGACACTACACACAATTAACTTCAAAGAAATATGTGAGACTCTATTTCAAACAGAACTTCTTTTTTCAGACATTTAGTAGGTTTTTTGAAAGCCTGATACCAACAAAACTCCTATTAGGTAAATATGAAAACACTTCATACTCCAATCCCCTTTTCCTGTTTTAATGGGTAATACTTTGTTTAGTAATACTGAGAAGATGGCTATTTTTATTTTTTAAAATGCATATAAAATGTACATAAAAGAATTTTACCTATCATGGACTGTAGAATTATAAGGTTGATTATAATAACCACAGTAAGAAAAACAATGGAATGCCTTAGAATAAACAAGTATTTGTGTTATCAGGATGTAAACTTTTTTTTTCAATACTTCTTTTAATTGAGTTAAAAAAAAATAAATGATAGCGGAATGCATTACAATTCTTATTACATGTATACAGCACAATTTTTCATATCTCTGGTTGTATATAAAGTATGTTGACACCAATTCGTGTCTTCATACATGTTCTTTGGATAATGATGTCTATTGCATTCCACCACAGGATATAGGTAGGCATGGTCAGAAGAGTCAGAGGAAGTATTTTCACAAAGCTCTTCTATAACATGCAGGTTCCTTTAAGAAAGTTGTCTTTTATAAACCTACTTGCTTCACTGACTCACTTAAACCACAAAGTAGTTGCTTGAACAAGAACAAAATAATACCATGATATACATGCACTGCCTTAACCATAGGTGGTTTAAAAACTTCCTGTCATTTACTGCATATTTTCTATCTCTCATACTTAGAATCTTCCTCCTTTTTCCATACCTATCATGATCTCAATCTTTATGTTTTTAGTTTTACTAAGAATAATATTAAAATGTTTCCGATCACATCATTTCTGATTTGAATGAGACGGAGGAAGAAGATGATAGAAGAACCAGAGGACATTTTCTGAAAGGTCCTGTTTTAGGATACACTTCTATACTGACTTCCTAATATTTAGCCTGGCTTTGACACATAAAACACATATTGCTACAGCAAAGCCACAGTTACCATTAGTGGGAATATAAACTGATAGAGTTGCTATGGGGATTGCCAATGCTGTAAAAATTATTATTATATGTGTACTTTAACTCAAAAATTTTTCTTTAGGTATCTATTCTATAGATGTGCTTACTGCTTATACACATCATAATGATTCATATGCACAGTTATTTGTGCATTACTACTTACAATTTAAGAAGCAGGAATAAATGAAATGTCTACCAATAAGGGACTGGTTAATAGGATATCCTGCAATGGAATACTATGAAATAGCAAAAAGACATGAGAATAATCTTTATGGACTAATATGAATGAGCTCCAAAATTATTTAATACAAAAAGCAAATAACAGTGTGTATATAAAGCTACCATTTGTGTAAAAGAGGAAATCATATAAATTACATAAAGTACACATACATGTGCTTATATATACATAAACATTAAGTCTGTATGTTACAAATAAGCTAGCCCTGGCTGCTTCTGGAGAGGGAAACTGGATGGCCGGGGGACAGAGTTAGGAAGACTTTCACTGCTCGCTCTCTCGCACAGTTTGAAATGTGAATCTTGTGAATGTTTATCTATTTAAAAAATGACTAAAACACTGCGTAAGTATATTGAATCGATAAGGAAACTATAGTGAATGCAGATCAAGTTAAGACTAGATGCCCTATTCTAGCTTTAGGAGAAAAGAAGGAATTCTACATTTATAGGAAAGAAACAAAGACACCAAGCAAAGGTATAATATACCTCTCTGCTTACTACAAAAATGCAAAATGTATCTACTTTAAGTATTGTAAGGGTTTCTTTTAAACACTTGAGGGACAAAAAAAAAATAATCAAAGTCTCAGCAGGAGATTTAAAGGTTTGAGCAACCCCAACTTTAAAACTTACCATATTTTATTTCCTGAGCACCAATAATGAATTTTTATAAGAGATAATAAAATGTTGTGCACGTAATAGAGTCAGAATGGAGTATGTGTTATAATTTTATGTGTGTGATATCATATGAAATGTCAGAGAAATAAGATAAACACACCTTACAAGTATTTTGAAATGACTATTACGTTAATATTCAGCTCCTAACAAAACAAACTTATGGCACCAATTTGTAAAAAAAACTACTTTTTAAATTTTAATATTTCAATCAAAGAACAGCTGAACTGCTTTAATACCACTATATGAATTAATTCTTTGTAACTTAAGAGTTTTTTCCTTCAAGTATAACTATAGTACTGAAATTTAAAAATGGTTTTCACTAAAGAAAATCATTTTTAAAAAAGAGAAAACTAAGAACAGAATTCAAACTTTTGAAGATCTTAAATTTGTTCTTAATTTTCTTCCTCCAACTTCTACCAATATCATTTTCTATATGATTTTACTGATAACCCCTGTGCCATTACAGTGACCAGTGACTAGGGACAAAGCACACTATGATCATTACTATCCAAAGTACATGTATGAAGACACACACACACACACACACACACACACACACACAGTGAGTTCTAAAGATTTGAGTTCTACTGACCATGTGCTTCTTTCAACTTGCTCCTGCGCTGTGTTCTAGCATAAAGTGCCACCTGCTGGACAACTTCCAGTTGCTCTTCAATTCGGGGAAAATGGAAGTCGGTACACTCTTGGCAAACTGTGGCAAAATCTAAAGGACCCCAAACATTGACAAACTTCTAAATGTGAACTATTAAATATTTAATATTTACTTATAGACAATTAGATCTAAGAAAAATAGAAAATGAAATTGCTGAGTATGATTTTTTGTAATTTCTTATGATAACCATAAAGTTATGATATAGCAACTTTGTTTTAATCAGAAACTTAACCTCTCAGTCAAAAGAGTAAACAATTAGTAGATAAAGAAATTTTAATATAATTGGAAGTCTTCTTTAAATAACAGATATGTTGATCACAATCTACTCCAAAATGCTACAAAAATACAAGCAGGTTCTTCCATTTATGAACAATAAATTCTATTCAAGCCTCTTCCAAAAACAACTGTAAAATTCCATATATTTTATATATTCAAAAGTTTAGAAATAATTATAGAAGTGAGGTATACTACTAGGAAGAATTTCACATAGCACATTTAAGAGGTAGAATACTAAAAAAAGAAAGAAATGGATGAACTAAATTCCCTAAATATCTGCTTCTAAATTGAAAAATACATTTGTATCTTGCTTATTATTCTTGTTTTACCCTGAAATAAGAATCCTAAAAGAGTATCATATACAGTGTAATAGAACTGTAAGAAAGAATAAATGTCAGGAGGCATTCTACCAGTGCTAGGTATGAAACAAATCTAAAATAGTTATGACTAGCTATGTTTATTGTTTGGTCTATTTGATTGTTGGGATTATTAAAAAGATACAGTTTTTCCAAAATTCCTTTCTTTATAAGAATTGTATTTAATGAAATAAATATGAATAATGTCAACTTACCTCTCTTAATACCACTATATGAATTAATTCGATTATCTACTAGTAAAACCAGACCACAGAGAGATGTAGAATAAAGTGACAGTGCTGTTTGGAGCCGATGGAGTTTCACACCACTTCGATGGTTTCTTTTATGCTTACAGAAGTCCAGCATGTCTGCTCTCAACAATCTCAAATTATGCATGGTCTTCAACTGGGCTCCTGGGAGTAGGCAACAGTCTCAGAAAAGAAACTTAAATAACTACAGAAATCTAGTATAACAGGATGCAAATCTCTATGGCAAAAATAAGTCTTTGCTACAAATAATGATTAAAAATGGGCTTTGCAACTTCTCATTTTAATAACTACTGTAATTTAATCTATCTGAAAAAAATGTCTAAACTAAAACAAAAATCCTACAGCCAACAAACTATAGGCTTTCTTGGAGCAGGATACGATTTGGAATTGAAGATAACATAGGTACACTAAGGATTTTTCTTTTAGAGTATAAGTAAAATTCAGAAGTATCAATAAATAATAACTGCAACGAATTTAAAATACTTACCTAAGTGAATAGTAAAACTTTCCTCTAACTTTCTCTGTTCCTCATAAATCCTTCCAACTGCTTCCACAGATTCTCTGAATTGATTTGGCTGAACTTTAATTTCCTCACTGAAATTAATAAAATTATTGATTTTCTTTCTTTAGGTATTTGTCAAAAACTTTTCTTGAACTTTATGAGAGAAAAGTGAACTGCTGAAAGTAGTGCTTAATTATTTCTCAACCATCTTTAACCAATGATGACAAGTAAGACTCTAAGCACTAACTGGTTCTAAAATTTCCACTTGTTCTTTCATTTCCTTACAGTAAGTAATTTAGATAATTCTTATCAATCATTAAAATATCAATGAACGTATTACCACTTAAAATTTCTTAAGTTATTAGCTTATTAACATTCAAATCACATTATGCCTATTTTAAAATCCATGATATAACTTATACCAAGGTTAACTGTAGGCAAAATTAAAAAACAGGTGAAAGCTGGTTACAGTGTGCACACCTGTAACCCCAGCTACTTTGGGAGACTGAGGCAGGAGGATCACAGGTTTGAGGTCAGCCTGGGAAACTTAGGGATATCCTGTCTCAAAATAAAATACAAAGGGCTGGGGATGTAGCTCAGTGGTAGTGCCCTGGGTTTAATATTCAGTACTGCTGAAAAAAAAAAAAAAAGGTGTTGGGAGGGGCAATGAAACATTGTGATGGCAATAAAAATTATAACACAGATAAGTAATAAAAAAGATGAATCTTATTTTAATGTATCTGCATCCTCTATTTTTTTAATCATTTCTTGTCTTTTTTAACCTCCAACATTTTATTCCCACAAAATGCTCTCTTTAGTCTGCTGTGTTCTTTATATTTCCTGAAAAGGTTTCCAAAAAGAAGTTAAACTTGTATAACTATTCAATTCAAATTTCAAGGGTAAATGTATACATGAGTCATCTGCTCTACTGACTAAAATTTGGGGTTAATCCAAACTGCCTCATTAATCTTACTGACTGATTTCATTAATAAATACAGTAAAAACTAAGAAATAAATTTATATTAATAAATATTCCCCTCTTAGAAGGTAGAAAGTCATAAGAAAATATTATCCCCACTGTAATATCAACAAAAAGTCAGATAATTTATGAAGCTTATCAGAGATTGGAAGTAACAACACATCCAAGAAAACTTAATTCCAAAATGTGACATGCCCCTCCAAGGAGAGATGGGATACAGTTTCATCTTTGTCAGGACATGGTTGGAATAGGTTGCTGTCATACAAGGAAGTAAACAGAAATCAATAAAATTTTATAGCTTCTTAAAAGCCAAGCATGTTGATTTGTAATAGTTAGGAGCCACAGGCTTACGTATTTGCAAAAATTTTCCACCAAGTGCTTCCACAAAAAGACTTGCAGCAGGAGACAAGAGAACACTCCTGGGGGTAGAGTCAGAGTCATTAGAACATCCCATATCTAAGGCTGAGATATATATAATTTGCTCAAGACTAGAACTGGACAAAGATAACAGAATTGGTCAACAAATGGACAAAGTGACTGCCCCTGTCCCCAAATTATGAGCCCAGTGCCAAGTAACAAGCAAAAACAATACATTGCTGAGAGGAAGAGCAATGGTACATAGAAGGACTCCATTTTGTGGCACAGGCATGCAGACTGAGGATGGATCAGAATCACAGAAAAAATCTTCTAGAACTCCAACTTCCAATCCAAGCATAAAATAGCTTTAGACTATTACTATAGAAAAAGAAGCCCTTTGGGTATTAAAGGTACTGAGACACAATAAAAACCAAAATCTGTTCAACTGCTGATAAGATCTGTACAACCTTCATATTCATGGCCTGTTCATTTCTAAATGTAATACTATTTGCCTTGGTCTTACCCACATATCTAGCATTCAGAAAAAAAGGAAAAGGAAGAGAGAGTTAAGAAGAGGAGGAAGAAGATGTTGAAGAGGAGGAGGTGGAGTAGCAGGAGGAGGAAAGACACCCTGAAAAGCAAGGGGGAAAAAGAAACTCCCTGTCAAGAAATAAAGAAATCAACAGAAACAAATTTAGAGATAACACAGATATTGAGTTTAAAAGAAAGAAATTTTCAAATACCTATGATTAATATGTTAAAAGATCTAGTGGAAGAAGTAGATGAAATATAAGGACAGACAGGGTATTTTAGCAAAACGAGAAAACATGAAAATACTTGAAATAACATATTTGATTATCACAGATAACTCATTTTATAATTCCATCATTACTCTGAAAACAACGTCAAATGAAGATATTATAATAAAAAACTATAGACCAATATACATACATACAGATACATATATACTGGTGGATATATGTCATACATGTATATAACATATATAATGAAATAACGTATCATGACCTATATGTAAAACCTAAATCTACAAAACTGCTAGAAGAAAACATAGGAGAAAATCTTTGTGATCTTGGATTAGGCAAAAATATCTTAGATAAGACAAACTACTTAAAAACTGATAAATTGGCAGAGTACAAAAGATTCTGATACTGCCATGTGGCTTGAGGTCACTATACATTTGTCGAAATGCATTGAATATACAACAGGAATGTGCATTGTTTACAAATGTAAATGATGAACTTTGGTTGATTATGATATGTCAAAATAGGTTCTCAATTACAACAAGCATACCACTCTTCTGGGGAATATTGACATGAAGAAAGATACATATATGTGGATTGGGGATAAATCTCTGTGCCTTCCTCTTAATTTTGTTGTACCTTAGTATTACCCTGAAAAACTAAAGTGTTTAATTTAAAATAAAAGTGATAAACTGCACTGATAAACTGTAAAATGAAAAACGTTGGCTGAGGAAATGGCTCAGAAGCAGAGTGCTTGCTTAGCATGCAAAAGGCTCCAGATTTGATCCCCAGCACTGCAAAAAGACAAATAAATAAAAAATTTAAAAAACTTTTTAAAAAAATGTGCTCTTTGAAAAACACTATCAAGAAAATGAAAAAAAAGACAAGCCATAGAATAGGAGAGAATATTTATAAAATATCTGTTTGAAGATAGACTTGTATCCAGAATATTTAAAGAACTCTTACAACTCAATAAGAAAACACAAAGGAGATAGAAAATTAATACATGAAAAAATGTTCAACAACATTAGCCATCAGGAATATGCAAGTAAAATTATACTGAGATACAACTACTAGAATGGCGAATAGTAATACCAAGTATTGACAAATATGTGGAGTATCTAGAATTCTCATTCATTAGTGGGAGGAATGCGCAACCACACAAACACTTTGTAAAACAGTCTGGCAGTTGTTTATGAAGATAAACAAACACCATATGACCTAGAAATCACACTCCTAGATAGTTATGTAAGGGAAATAAAAACATATGTGTATACAAAGACCTGTACACGACTGGTTTTAGTGGCTTTATTCTATAATTGCCCCAACCTATGCCCTAAATGTCTACCACAGAGTAAATAGATAAATAAATGAACAGAAGACTAAAAGATAATAAAAAGTAAAGAACTGGGCCTGGGGTTGTGGCTCAGAGGTAGAATGCTCACCTTGAATGTGTGAGGCACTAGGTTCGATCCTCAGCACCACATAAAAATAAAATAAAAGTATTTGTCTATCTACAACTAAAAATATATTTTAAAAAAGGAAAGAACCACTAATACCCAGAACGACATAAATGAATCCCAAAAATACTATGCCAAGTGAAAGAAGCAAGGTAAAAATGGCTACATACAGTTTGATTCCATTTATATGACATGCTGGAAAAAAAAAAAACCCTATAAGGGCAGAAATCAAACAGGTTGACAGGGGCTGGGATGAGGAAAGGGGGTTGACAATGAAGGTGTAAAAGAAAAATGAAGGTGCAAAAGCAACAGTTAGAGGCCAATACACAATGAAATTGATCCTATGCATTGAATTTCAGAAACTACAGTAGCTAAGTAAGGGATAACTTGTAGCAAGGGGCTTTTTTTGCTTCCTTAAATCAGGTGCTTTAACTTCTTTGTCTATAATATATTGTATAGGTTTTATATTTTAGCTCAATATATACATTCATTTACATAAAGTTTCATGCATATGCACTCTGGCATTTTTTCCTTTCTCAACTCTATTCTAGTCTATTTAATTGTTGTTTTTAAAAGGTTGGTTGGAGAGTGAGGATCTAGGATTGTTCCTAGAAGACTGCAACCAAGAGTTTGGGAAAAACAATAAAACAAATGAAAGATTATAACATAGTTTTAGTACGTAAGAAGTGATATAGGGACCAGGGAAGAGTTCATTGATAATCTATCCATCTGTCAATTTATACATTCCATAAATATCTACTGAGCATGTCCTATGTGCTAGTGCCAAAAGCTAAATACTTGGCAAGGAGTTGGTATATAGTGGTTTAACAAACAGTCAAACAAAACAGACATAATTCTTGCTTTCAAGCCAAGTGTTTTAGTTAGTTCCTGTTACCAAAGTACCTGACAAGAACAACTTACAGGAGGAAGTTAGTTTGGGGCTCAGGCTTTCAGAGGTCTGAGTCCATACATAGTCAACTCCATTGCTCTAGGTCCAAGTGAGGCAACATATCATGGGGGAAAGGCACACTGAAGGAAAGCTGCTCAGCTCATAGTAGTGTCAGGAAGCAGACTGGGGAAGAAGGGGGCCACAGGGAAGATGCACCCTTCCAGGGCACACACCCAATGACATACCTCTTCTAGCCATGCCCCACATTCCTAGAATTTCCATCCAGACAGTCCATTCAAATTAGGATACACTAATTAGTCTCAGATCTCACAATCCAATCATTTTACTTCTGAATATTCCCGCATTAACAGGAGCTTTCAGGTGACACTTATTACCAAACCATAACAGCAAAACTAGTGGAAGACTGACATCACATAAATAAAATGCTACTTTTAAATGTTTACAACATATACTAGCATGTTCTGTAAATAGGTTTATTGTATTTTTCTTAATGTATTTCTAGCTTAATGTACTTTAGGATTCAAAGAATAAAGAAATTTTCAAAAATACGTACATACAACTAGTAAGTAATTTAGGCATGGTTAAGTTCTAGGGCAATACGTGAAACAGTTTATTTAGGCCACATGTGATATACAAGATATAAATTATGAACCCCCCCTAACATTTCTGTACCTTGTACGTGCTTCTATTTCTGCACATCTTAATCTACATGGTGTTGTTTAATTTACAGGTCAGTCTCTCTTTTTAGAATATAAGTGAAACATAGGCAAGCTAATTGCACTGAGCAAAACCAATTAAAAAAAAATAAAAGATAGTAGTATTTAGGTATACACAATTAAAAGGTTTAGAAAGCTAAAGTTCTAGAGGTGAAATCACTATTTTAGACCAATTAGTTACCACTCACCTGGCTCCAAAATAATCTACATTTAGTGTCTATATAAAAGATGGAGAATAACAGCATAAAATTATCTTGAATGTGGTTAACTTAAAATATATACAAGTAACAAGGCTCAATTTTATAGTAAATATAAACTATTACTAACAATAGGCTTTTATATGAATAAGAACAACACATGACTAATACCTGAGTGAACTGTTGTTGGGGTTTTTTAGATCTTGATGAAGTTTTATTACCCATTCCTGATATTCTTGCTTTTGGATGGCTGTTGATTGTTTTAATTCATTTGACCATTTATTTTCTAAGTCCTAAAAGAGAAAATGTGCCAACTGGTTAATTTTTTTATGTAAAAAATAAATAGGGGGCAGGGGATAAGCAAGGATGGTGGAATGTGATGGCCATCATTATCCAAAGTACATGTATGAAGACAAGAATTGGGTGTTAATATACTTTATATACAAACAGAGATATGAAAAATTGTGGTATATATTTGTAATAAGAATTGTAATGCAAAAAAAAAAAAAAAAGAATGGGAAGTTATACTCCATGTATGTATAATATTTCAAAATGCATTCTATTTTTATGTATAACTAAAAAGAACAAATAAAAAATTAAAAAAAAATTGCTATACTACAGTGACTAAATAAATAAATAAAAAGTAAGCTGGGCACAGTGATGCATGCCTGTAATCCTAGTGGCTTGGGAAGCTAAGGCAGGAGGATCATGAATTCAAAGCTGGCTATAGAAATTTAGCGAAGTGAAGTCAGCCAATCCCAAAAAAACAAATGCCCAATGTTTTCTTTGATATAAGGAGGCTGATCCATAGTGGGATAGGGAGCAGGAACATGGGAGGAATAGACAAACTCTAGATAGGGCCCAGGGGTTGGAGGGGAAGGGAGGGAGAATGGGATTAGAAATGATGGTGGAATGTGATGATCCTTATTATCCAAAGTACATGTATGAAGACACGAATTGGTGTGAATATACTTTGTATACAACCAGAGATATGAAAAATTGTGCTCTATATGTGTAATATGAATTGTAATGTATTCCACTGTCATATATAAATTAAAAAAAGAAAAAAAAATTTGTGGAAAAACCTTAACAAAGTAGGACATGAATATGAAAATTGCCTTTCTGTGCTAATAAAATAATTCAACTCTTAAAAAAATAAAATGTTAAAAAAAAAGAAATTTAGTGAGGCACTAAGCAATTCAGCAAAACCCTGTCTCTAAATAAAATATAAAAAAGGGCTGGAAATGTGATTAAATGGTTAAGCTCCTCTGGGTTCAATCCCTGGAAGGAAGGAAGGAAGGAAGGAAGGAAGGAAGGAAAACACAACTACATATCTAAAAGCTCTTATATTTCACTCACCTGCTGAGATTCAAAATGCTGAGCAGCCAGTGAATTTACATCCTGATCTGTCAGTGATTTTCCCAATTCCTGCATTACTTTTTCCATTTCAATACCTTGTCTAAAACATAAATTAGCAAATCAGGTAAGTATATTCATCAAATTTCAAGACCACTCCTGATTCACAAAGTGAAAATAAAACTTTTATTTCATAGGATTATGTCCAAGAATGGGAATTATAATACCTGAAAGTGCCCTGAATCCTTGGAAATTCTCAAAGAAATAGTATGCAATTCTAGCTTAAATAGATTTTCTTTTTATTTGTATATGAACTAAAATGACTTCAAGTTCTGAAAGTTTGCCTATATTATATCCAGAAACTGCCAACTAGGTTCTAAGAGTCAAACTGTTAAGTCACAAAATTACCTTTAAAAAGGCATGTAATATACTTATCTAATGATAATTTAAGAATGTAGAAATCAAGATTGATTTTTCTTAGAGGAAAAGTTAATCAATGGTTTAAGTAAATTGATTTAATTTAAATAAACTGTGATAAATTAAATTCATCCATATTATATATTTATAAAAAATATGTATTTCTATCTGACTCATATCACAATATATAGAATTATGAGGAGGTAGTCTGGAAAGCCATGATTTAAAATCAATAATACTAGCAGCTTTATACTCACTCTGAAGAAACAGTGGTCCATAAAGGCATCATTTCCTACTGTATTAAGTATCCCTATAGAATGGATTCAAATCTGACTAAAATTTCTTTGAATAATGTGAGTATTATTTTTTTCTTCTTAATGTAAATAAGGTTATGAAATGAAGTAAAAGACCATGCACTTAGATCAGGGCAATGAAGAGAAAGTTCTGACTAGGATACAAGGTACAGTGATTACTAGCTTTGGAGTTAAAGATTCCTTGGTTTAAAATTCTATCTGTCCTTGGACAAGCTACTTACTTTATTTAAGCCAAGATTTTTCTCATCTTTAACAGTAGGGTTGAGGTAAAGATAAAGGTAAAAAAAAAAAAAAAAGATAAAGGTAAAGACAGGGCACAGTGCTCAGAGTAAAGTAAGCCTTCACTAGCAAGCCTTCAATCTATTCCTCTTGTTACAAATAAGAATATGTAATGCCAGCACATTTTATTTATATAAATCACTTGAGAAGTTCTCTAAGTCTATAAGGACAGTTCCAGTTGAAATTACACATTTAAATATACAAGAAAATTGATTTCTTAATATTAAAGCATTTTTCTACTTTATCCTTTAATTTTATAAAATATGAAAACAAGTTGTTCTGTAGGTCATCATATATGACATTATAATATTCAAGAAATGTGAAATACCTTTCTCTTAATTTTTTCAGCTCCACATCTCTTTCACCAATCAGTTCTGAGATACTAACAAAGTAATTATGTTCCAGATTTAGAAGAGTTTCAGAAGCAGGAGAATGTATTAGATCATGATATACATCTGCAAAATCTTCATCCCAGCTGGGCTCTTCAGGTCTTGCATGCTCTAATGTACTCTATAAGATGATACACAGACATTCCTCAATCATAACGCAGAATTTTTATTTAACACAGTTCTACAAAAGTATGTATATTACAGCTCCATTTTTGTATATCAGACAAGAACAGAAAGACCCTCTATTTATATATGTGTAGATATATAAATAGAATGAGAACAGAAAGAACATGGAGAAATTTAAACTAAGTTGAGCTATCTGGGAACAGAAATGAGGCACTAAAAGGGAGGAAGGTACACAAATTTCCAAAATTAAAAAAATAAAAAGTATGCTATAATTCCATTTCTATGAAATCACAAACACACACACACACACACACACACAAAGGGATGACCAACAAAATGATAATAGTGACTGTTTCAGGACAATGGGACTTTTGGTGACCTTTATTTTATTTTTTATGATATAATAATTTTCATGTACTAATCATATAGTGAGAAAAGCTTTTTATTATTAAAAAATGTGCTCTACAGGGCTGGGATTGTGGCTCAGTGGTAGAGCACTTGTCTCACACAGGTGAGACACTTAGTTTGATTCTCAGCACCACATATAAATAAATGAATAAAATAAAGGTCCATCAACAACTAAAAAATTTTTTTTAAAATGTGCTCTACAAAGTATTTATAGGTTGTATATTTAGAAAATGAAGTTACCTATGTAGTCAGCTGTGATACATTAACCTTTATTAACCTTCAATACCTAATTCACCCATGCCTATGTAAAGATAAAGGTCTTGTTTTGATCTTTTCATTTATGATCATTTTAAAAACAGTAATATGCTTTCTTTTATATACTTAAAAAGATGCCCATCACAAAAAGACAGTCACCTCAATACATGCAAGACACAATGCAGAAGCTTATAGGTTGAGAAGTACCTTGTCAAATACCATACAATTTAATGGCAAAGTAAGAATAAAACAGTTTGGTGTTTTTTCCATCATTGATCTGTGCAAACAGATATCTGTTTTTAAAAAATCACAATTCTTCCCTTTTCTTATCAATGAATATACTAAAACTAAAATGTAAGATGACTGAGAGTCATAACTTAAAGCAAATGAATAAATCATAGAAACAGGTATCTTGAACTTTGCCAATTAATGGGTAAACTTTATCCTTTGTTCTCATTCACTTATCCCTCAGACAAAGGCCTCAGCAGACAGGAGGAGTTCAAGAGGACTAGCCGAACCTAGAACTCAGATTTCATCTCCTCTATGCCTCTTTCCACCAGGCTCTGCTCTAGGAATTATAACCAGCCCATGTGACTCATCCTCTGGTCAAAATTCACTTCAGGGTCAGGCTGAAACTGTACAGGAAGGAGCCAGTGAAAGATCATTGGGATCTGACTGGCCACACATAACACCAGATACTTGGTGATTCTATTAACCCAGTCATCTAACTACAAAAACCTGCAATACCTATTTTAAACCCGGCCTAGCACAAGCCTGAATCAGAATCTGCCTACACAGGAAACACTACACAGTCCTTCCTTGATCTAATTTATGCCCTTCCCTCAAGAGAGGTGATACCAGGAATTGGAATGTGATTGCTGAGAGGAATGAAGCACTGAGTACCTGCAGAAAGAAAACTATTCACTGCCAATCTCAACCTCCACCCTCAGGCACAAAACCTGGCTTCTTTGAGGTTTACACCATTCAGCACTGATTAACTTTCTTGGTCATTATTATAAAAACCATCCACCTGTCTCTTATTAATTTAAAGCTTTGGCACTAAGTTCATAGTCTTCCTCTCTGTCTCAAATCCTGTATCAACCTGGCCCACTCGGATGTCCTTATGGACAACCTATTCAATGTTCCATCTTCTTACACCCTGAACTCTTATCTTTCTTAAGTTCTCCACTCCATCTCAGCCACCCTTCAGTAACTGCTTTAGTTTGAATCTTGAGCATCCTCCAAAAGCCCACATGTTAAAGGCTTGACTCAAGGTGGTGCTATGGGAAGGGGATGGAACTTTTAATAGGTGGGCCCTAATGGGAGGTCCTGGGGTCATTTGGAGTATTCTGGAAGGGGACTGTGGAATACCTATCTCTTCCTCTTCCTTTTCTATTTTGCCTCTTCCTTTTCTTCCTTGCCATGAGGTGAGGAGATTTGCTCTGCCATATTCTCTTGCCTTGATATGCTGCTTCATCACAGGCCCAAAGCAATGGGGCCAACAATCTTGGACTGAAACCTCTAAAACTGTGAGCACAAACAAACTTTTTCTCTTCATAAGTTGATCATCTCAGAAATTTGTTAATAGTAATGGAAAGCTGACTAACATAGTCTTCTCATCAATAACAGGTTAACTTTAAAAATTCAAACATTCAAGTCTCTGATTATATGCTCTGACCAAGATTTTTCACTCAATTATTCCCAAGTAATTGAGTATTAAACCTCATCAGGACCTTTACTCCATAAACTCTCCTACCAGCTCATTTTATCAGTCATCAGTTCTCATTTAGATTCTCTTCATTCTCTATATAGCTTACATTCTGTGCTCAGCATTTAACCACTGTCTTACCAATATCCTCAACTCTCTTCATTGATGTTGTCTTTCTTATCCATCTAATAAAACTCTAATCTTCTTCTTCTCTCTGCATGCAATAAGGCTTAGAAAGCCACAACAGAAAAATCATGAAACTCCAAAGTTCATGTTGGCAAACAGACTACTCTAACTTGCCCTTCAATTATTCTTGACAATCCCACCATTCCTTGGAGAATTCTGTCTCAAAAACCCAATTCTCTCATTACTCCCTACCTCATCTAAACAAATGATCTGTCTTTTCTATTTCTCAGATAAAGTTGAAGCAGTCAGAAGAGACTATCATCAACTTCCTACTACAATTAGTAAAATTTTCGGAATTTATATCTTTCCTGCTTCACATCTGCATTAATGAAAAATATATATTTCTTCTCAGTTAAGGTTAATTCTCCATTTGAGTTCTGGATTCTATTTTCTAGACTTCAACTCTACCATCTTAAAAACAAAACAAAAACAACAAACCTCTGACTCTGTATTCCCATTTAGCAAGTGTCTCAAATAGCCAAACTTCTAGAGTTATTGATTCCTATTCTTCCTTCTTTCTACTTCCTTATTCTTAAAGTCACTAAAATCTAGTTCCTGCTCTCACCAATTCACTGAAATGACCTTTCCATTGACAAGATTACTTGATAAATCTAATGTTATATTTGAGTCTTTTCTTTACATCATATTCAGTGGCATCTTGGCTTTTTATCATAGTTTAACTGATGGTGGTTTCTTTCTTAGTAAATAAAATAATGACGTGTGTGGCATCTTAGACTTTATGAAATGGTGTATGTTAATTAAATAGAAAAGCAATGGCATTATATAGCTACACAACAACAATAAAGTAAGAAGACAAAAGTAAATCAAAGTGAACCACTACTGGTTTAGAGTCAGATGAAAGCCAAGATATACAGTTAATTAACCCACTTGAATCAAATGTATGAAATATGATATGTCAAGAGCTATGTAATGTTTTGAACAACTAATAATAAAAATTAAAAAAAGGAAAAAAAAATTTAGAATTTAAGATAAAGGGTAAATCATTTTTCAGTATAAATATGTTCCATGTAATATTTGGGATAGTTATACTAAAATTATTCATTGATCTGAAATTCTGTCTTCAATAGGTATCTCATATCTTTAATTACTAAACCTGGTGACCCCACATTGGCTGGATATGGAAAAGTAGCTTCTATTTTACAAAAGTATTCTACAAAGCATATTTTTTTATGTGCTCATACTGATAAATGAAGGAGCACAAAAGCAGCAACATATACTGAATATTATTGATATACAGATCAAAAAGGATTCCACAAACTGTTTAAGTATTATGTTAGCAATTTAAAAATCCTCACTGAATCCCAGAATATCCTTGAAATATTCAATTTGACTTATTTTCTTACCTCAGCATAAGCTTTGGCCCATGTATTTGCCAGCTGATGTAAATCTACTTCACCTGATTTCACAGCCTCCAAGCATGCTTCAGCATCTCTATCATAATCCCTGAGGGATTCTTCCTCTATAAAGTGGCTCAGAGCTTCTTTTAAGTCTGAAAGAGGAACAATAAATGCCATCATCAGCAAAATCCATATACAGAAAGGGAATATTTTACTTGGCCAAGCATTCCAGTGCAAAATTTTTATTTTATCAAACATGCTTAATATCATCTTCAATTAAAATAAAATCAGTAGTAGAGTGCTTGTATCACAAGCACAAGGCCCTGGTTCAATCCCCAGCATAGGAAAAAAAAATTAGTTTAGGGAATCATTTCACAACAATTTTTTTATTATATTCTGTCCTCAAAAACCCAACTCTCTCATTACTCCCTACCTCATCTAAACAAATGATGTGTGTGGCTCTTAGACTTTGTTGCAGAAAAGTCAAAATTCTTAGTTTTTCTGTATCCTTGATACTAACTAAATAATGTTAATTTCTTTTTTTTTTTTAAGAGAGAGAGGGAGAATTTTTAAATATTTATTTTTTTAATTTTCGGCAGACACAACATCTTTATTTGTATGTGGTGCTGAGGATCGAACCCAGCGCCGTGCGCATGACAGACGAGCGCGCTAACGCTTGAGCCACATCGCCAGCCCTAGATAATGTTAATTTCTTAAACCAATAATTCAGTTTGAAGCAGAACAGGTATATGCATATAAAGAAAGACCCACAGATTTTGAGAGTCTGAAGTTACTGTATATAAGTGAAAAACAGTTTCTTATATCAGTTTAAAGAGTATATTAGAGCTTTTGAATTTGCAAAAAGAAATTGATTATATTAAAACCAGTTTAATGCAGATACGCTAAGGTTTCAATTTGAGAAACACTATTTAGGGACTGCCATAATGGAAAGAGCAGTGGAATAGGAGTCAGAACACATGGATTCTGGCCTTGGTTTTGTCACTATGTTGGTGACTTTAGACCAGGGTACACAATCTTGAATCCCTTGGAGGACTAGCTGAAACCAACTGCTTCAGGGCTACCCCTAGAGTTTCTGATTCAGCAGGAATAGCATAGAGCCAAGATTTTACATTTGTAACAAGTTCCCAGGTTGTTGCTGATTAGGTACCACACTTTGAGAATTACTGCCTGAGGTAAATAATTTATTTATTTATTTATTTATGTTGTTTTTTTATTTATATAATATGATTGTGCTAGAAAGTTTCTAGGTTGCCTTATAATTCTAGCATTCTGTGATTCAATATATTTTTAATTTGAAATTTTTTCCTAGTCTGTGAAATAGAAAAGAGAGACCTTTTAAAATGGCTTAATACAGATCACTTTATGAAACAAATTTAGGTAAAAGATTAGAAATTCTGTTCCATGGAATCTTAATAATTGATTATCAGATTGGTAAATTATCAATTTACCAATATAATTCTATAATTATAATATTGTAATTAGTGATGGATGAAATACCATATGAATCAACTCAACTAAATTTAAATGTGAAAGTTTTCATTAAGACCTTTTTTCATGATGTAATTTTTTAATTAAATTTCTTTATAACAGTTACACAGGTAATAGGGGAAACACTTAATAAAGCAAAGATCTGAGGAATCTTTTATTCTTGGAAGCAGTTAATTCATATTTTGTTTCCATTGCTTCTTAGGTTTATGCTTTCTAGCATGAAACTTCTAATGAGAGAGTCCATAAGAAAATAATTAAGTGGCATTACTTTAAAAAAATCAGTCCTTACCATTTTCTATAAAGCATGGCAAGCTGTGAAGCAGCATCAGACGTCCATGCAAATGACTGGCATTTTCCTGAACAGGAAATTTGAGGGGTACTCTCAATTCTAAGCACTCAGTTCCTACTTTGAATTTATACACAAACTCCCTTTCTTTGTTGCAGAATCTTTCTCGGTTTTTCTTCATATTCTTTGACAGGCTCTCTGTAGAATAACAACAAAAAAGCAACAAGTTATATTATAAAACTATGATGTTTCATTATTGCTGTAGCACTTCTAAATATATTCCATCACTCAAAAGATTTTATTTGTGTGACTCTGAGCCAACTATTCCAGTTTTTTTCCAAGTGTTTATCCCTGCCCATTTTTTGTTTTAATGATGAAAATGAAGTTCTTCCTCTATTTTTTAAAATGAAAACAGTTTCTTTTAAACTTCATACAAGGAAAAAATTATACTTATTTATACATTGTATTCTTAGACAGGGTTCTCAATACTAGGGAAAGGATTCTTAGGAAGGGATACCTAGATGTGTAGATGAAGAGCTAGTAAACAGTTGGTGAAAACAAAGTGAAACAGATCAGGGACCAAGTAGTGATCCAGGTGACCTTAGAGGTTGTAATTTTTGAGATCTGATAGGAGAAAGGGATAAGAAAGTGTTAGATCTCCATGTGGCAAGTCTATTGCTCTCTTGATAATATTCAAACCCTTTATTCCAGTTTACACCTCTAGACTCTTCTCTAGGATGCACCTACACCCTTACTCATCAATAAGCCAATTTGCAAATTTGTTTTCCTATCATTCTGAACTTCTGTTAATACCAAATTTCTCTTTCCACTCCTAAGCTTTCTGAATTAAGTTTTCCTGAGGGTAGTCTCACTAGTTTAAATTTTCTTGGATAACAACTACTCATTCTTTGGGTCGTAGTTCAGCTAGCCCCCAGAAGCCTAAACCAACTCCCCCAAAGTATACTGGGTCCCTATTACAAGTTCTCATACTACTAGTCTGTACTTATCTGAATCATGCTATTTTCTTATTCTCACTAGAATAGTTTACTTCAAGTGAGAGAAAATGTATTCCAAGTACCATGTAGAATGCTAGGAACATAATAGCAAGGCTAACAATTGTTAAATTATATGGTATTTTTATTTTATGGTGCTCTCTGCAAAAATAAAGAAGACAACAAATAGTTACTCATATTGTGCTTTAAAAAGAGGTCACCTGCTTGAAAGTAGAACCATTACTAGGGACTAGGAAGGATGCAAGGGACAAGGTCGGGGTGAGGGTGAAAGAAGGATGGTTGGATATGATCAACACATGCTATATGCATGTTTGGAAAACACTGTGATTCCATTAATATGCACAATTAGCATGTTAATAAAAGAGTCACTTGACATTTAAAAATAATTCAAAGGACTTTTTTGGTGTTTGTGTGTGGGTGTGCTGATGACTTGAATTATCCAGCCTATATTTTCAAATCTGTATGAAGGGTGTATATAAAAATTTCAGTCTATTTCATCCTAATGCAAAGAAAGAGGATACTGGGCTGGGGGTACAGCTCAGTGGTAGGGTGCTTGCCTAGAATGTGCAAGGTCCTGGATTTGATCCCAGCACTGCCAGAAAAGGAAAAGAGAGGGAGGGAGGGAGGGAGGAAGGGGGGGGGAGAGAGAGAACAAAAACCTATGTTTTACTCATGGAATTGAATGACTAATATTCATTAAGTGTAAATTAATGTAAATTTGTACAACAGTTTTAGAAAACTGGCAATAATTACCAAAACTACAAAAAGGTCTGTTCTATGATGCAGAAATTCCATTCCTAAGAATATATTCAAATACACACACATACACACATGTATGCACATGCACATATATTCACTAAAATACATCCAGAAGACTTTGTGTATGGTATCATCATCTCTGGATAACTGATGGTTTCCTTGCCACCAATGGACCACCCCTTCTCACTCTTCTACATTTTAGGCTCCCTTCACTTAAACTTCCCACTACATCTTTCCAAAACTTTTTAGCATGGCATTCAAAGACCTTCATAATCTAAACTCTTATTTACATCTCCAACTTCACCTCTACTGTGAGTATCCTGAAGGTTGTATCTTATCTATAGTTGAATGATAGCTCCTAACATGACATACAGACCTTTCACCAATATTTGCATTAAGAAAGTGGTGCGGTAATAAGAGAATTCCCCCTTTGATTTTGTCACTCAAATGGTTCAAATTCTGGTTGTGCCATTTAATTGCTACCTGAACAATTGGGGATAGTGCCATTTAACAGTGAGTCATAAGGATTAATCAAAAATAAATATGAGGGCTGGAGTTGTGGCTCAGAAGTACAGGCCTCTCCTAGCACATGAGAGGCCCTGGGTTCGATCCCCAGCACCATATAAAATAAAGGTATTGTGTCCAACTACAACTAAAAAATAAATATTTTTTAAAAAATAAATATGAAACATCTGACAAACATAAGATGATCAATAAAAGGAAGCCAGAAATAAAATATATAAGAATATATCAACATAGAAATCATATGCTACTGAGAAGACACGATAAAATCAGAGGCAGTAAATGTGTTAACATCGTAGCAAGGAATTGAACGTTGCAGAAATACGAGTTACACGGTCTAATCGGTTTTAAATTATATGGTATTTTTATTTATTCCTTAATAAAATTATCAGCTCTGGTTTCAATCGGTTCAACATCTTAGATTTGTTTCAATACACTGATAATTTAGTTCCATTTCCCTCCACTGTTTTTTTGTTTTTGTTTTTTTTTTTTTAATAATAGATTTGCTTCAGTTTTAGTGTCTGTGAAATCAAACATGGGATGGGAAAAGGACTGGACTGAACTCACAGAACCAACAGCGGAGGCTCTGGGGCTCACATTAGGGAAAGGGCGGGGAACTGCGGGGCCAAGAAGCTCCAGCCGAGCGACAGGACCAACCCCTTCTTTAGGAGATTTCAATTTTAAGTGGTCTCCTTAAGTGGTTCAGAGCTCACCTCGCTTGGTCCCGAAGCAGCCAGCACTCTGGAAGCTGTCAAGGAGCCGGGGCACGGGGATTATCAGCTGACATGTCGGCTTGTTTTTACCGCCAGCAGATCCCCCATGGCAGATTCACCCACCTTTTCCTGTTTTCTGTCACTTCGTAGAAAACTATTTGGTTAAGATAACACCTTTTCAAGTATATATTAATCTCATAATTTAAAAAGCGCAACAAGGTGTGTTTCTAAGCAGTTATTAAGTATTTCAGAGACGAAGCTAGAACCTCTGTCGTGACGAAAGCGCGGCGAAAGAGCACAAACTGAGTTCTGGCCGACCGGATGCGGAAGGGCGTACCTTGAGAAGGGCGTCAGCAAGCCAGCTCTTAAAGCGCAGGCTCCGCCGCAGGCTGGCTGCTCATGATTGGAGGACCCGGAGGCAGCGGAGGCGGGGAGCGCGATGTCCGGTTTTTGGGCGGGAATTGAAACCGCCACTGCTACCAGCTGAAACTTGAGCGCTGCAATTTTCCAGCCTTAACCGCGAACATGGTGCGGCCTGTTAGGTAAGTAGTTCGTTGGATACGGCACTAGTGGGGATAAAGAGCAGGAGGACACTGTAGGCAACTTGTATACAGGATTGAGGGAAAAGAGCGTTTAAGACAGAGGACAACTGTGGGAGGGGTGGGATGAACAGTTACCGGGAAACATTCCAGTCAGCAATGAGAGACACCCGTCGCTAAGAGGTGTCCCAGCTTCTTAGCTCTCACCCACTCCTTACTTTGCTTCTCAGCTGTTGCCGTTTCTTTTACCCTCGGCTCCATTCAAGTAAGATCTTGTTGTATGTTGCATTTAAACGACGTTTTGCACTTCAGCGAGCACGTACTTATTTGTCGTTTTCGTTTGTTCACCGCTAATCCTTTGGTATAGAAAGAGAAGGCATTCCTGTTTATGGATTTAAAACTTCTAGACATAAAAGCCGATTTTCTTGAGTCACTCAGCTAGAAAATCGCAGGACAATACTCACCCTAAGTCATTTGACTCTAGATCCTTTACTTTCCATTAATACCACCAGAAATTATTCCTCAACTTAATCACAGTTGAATACCATCATAAGCCTAGGATAAGTCATTCATATAGTACAGTCATCGAATATATTTATTTCTGTACTGTATTAGGTACTGGAGGATACATTCTAGTATAAGGTGAGTATAGGGTCCCAAAAATAAACATGCCAATGTCATACAGTAGAAAGGAAACCCTTAACTGTAAGGAAGGAAGGATGGACTTTTCTGATGTATGTCCGGAGATACGAATTATGAGAAGTTAGCCAGGCAAAAATATGGGGCAATCCAGGTAGCAGGAATAAGAGTCAAGGCCATCAGCTTGACCGTATTAAGGGATAGCTTGAAGCTGTAGCATTAGCAAGCAGTGGGGAGAATTGTTGGGGATTAGGTCAGATAAGTAGGGCCAAAGAAGGTAGGGCGTTTTAGGCCATCTAAAGGAATTTGGATTTTATTCTAAGTACAATGGGAAACCAATGGGAGAGTTTAAATATGGGAGAGAAATCTAATTTTGCTTTTATAAAGGTCACTAGTGGAGATCGAATGGGGGATGGTGCTATAATGGAAGCAGAAAAATCACTCTATTATATCATTGGGTAGTGGTTTGGAGTAGGATGTTATTAGGGGACATGGAATAGATCAGATGAATTTGGGATAGATATAGATATATTAGAGGTGTAGAAGTGGATGTGGAAGTAAGAGAAAAAGGGAATCAAGAATGACTAATATTTTTGATCTGAACTACTAAATGGACAATCTTGCATTAACTGGGATGAGGAAATCATCAGGAAGGCAGGGGGAAAGCATCACAAGAAAGCAGGGGAGCTAAAATGCCAAACTCCCTTGTGTTCTGACTAAAGAAAATTTAAAGTCAGACACCAAAAGTCATGCAAGAGCAATTTACTATAAGTGAAAGTAAAGTCAAAGCAAAGTGAGACTTAAGCAGAGAACATGACACACACACACACACAGAGAGAGGATATGATGGCATCTCCAAATTTATTGTCATTTGATGTTTACCAGGAGAACTGGGGACCTACACTCTTTGCCAAACAGGTGTTCAACTCCTCCTTCACTTTGGGCAATGGAGTATTTGATTTTAGTCTGTCCTCTTTGTAACTGTCATGGTGTCCATCCTATTTAGGGGCTTCATTTACAAGTCAATCCCATGTTCATGTGGGCCCTGGGGTCATAGCTGGTCAGCAGTTAACCTTAGTGCCCCTGTGCTGCTAAAGGAATCTTCCTTCCCAAACAGATGGAGACACCTATAGCCATAATTCCTAGCTTTACATCAACCTTCGTGGATCCTGTCAAAAGTTAGTCCCATTGATCCTTTTCTTTTGAGGTGTTTTCCAAATAGCTCCCTTGCTTTTGTTTATTTTCTATAGATTATCTGCCATCACTTGATTTTTCATCTACTCTGATGATAGTTTAAAGAAAACCCTAAAGTAATTTAAAGAACACTTGTGATCTTACCTTGCTTTTCACCACTCATTGCTAGCTACTTGCAAACATTGGGAAAGGAACTGGGGAGTCAAGATTTCTGTTTTCAACATGTTAAATTTGAAATGGATTTTAAACATCCAAGTAGTGAAGATGTAATCCGTTTGTTAGGAATAGCTCAAAGGATAGTCTGCAAACCTCTGGAGGGTTTCTAAAACCTTCTCAGGAGATCCATGAGGTCAGTACTGTTTTGATAATAATATTTACTATTATTATTTACTTTTTTCACTCCTTTGTCATTTGTACTACAGTGATGATTTGGCACAAATCAATGCAGTGGCACCAGACTTTTAGAAGTCATTGCATTCTTAACTGCTGTGTACTCAGTGAAAAACAAAATCCAAGTTTCACTTAAAAAAGTGCTTGAAATAAGACATATTTATTATAGCTGAACCCTTGGGTGTACTTCTCTTTTTAATAAGTCTTTTGGTTTTATTTTACTATTTTTCAACCTCAGAATTTTTAAAGAGCTTTCCATAATTTTATCAGCTCTCAAATTCTTTAACTCTGAAGGAGAGTAACATAAGTATTCTTCTTTTTAATATTATATGTGAGGATATGGGAAGTATACATAAAGTACTTTACATACTGAAGAATGTTGGTTTTCTCAAGGAATAGCACTTGTAAGATTATAAGATGAACTAACCTTTTTTTATTGAACTCTTTTTATTTTAAAGAAAACCAATTGGTTAACTAGATTTCCACACTTGGGCATTTGGCAGAAGACAAAGATTTGGAGACATTTCAGTTAGTACAAAGAGGAGGAAAGAAGGAAGTAACTTTTTTCCACTTTGAATATAATTTTCTTCTAATGCTTTCTGGAGTAGTATAAAGATTCATTTCAGATCACAGGAACAAAGTCACCATTTTTTTAAGAGTCCCTTGCATAAAAAATATTATAAGATATTTTATAAAGAATGACTTTTGGTGTTGTTTATAGTGTAATAAGGAAGATGTAATGCACATGAAAAACAATAAAACATCTACAAAAGGAATTTATAAATGCCCAGTAACAACTAAACAGTATATAAATTGAACTGTTAATTACATAGATTGTCTTTATTTTGTGAGCTATGTAGATTAATTTCTTTTCTATATCAGGTATAGTTTTAACTGTATCAGCTAAGTCCCTACTTTAAAGTGCAAATCATGTTTTAGATTTAAGTACTTCAAAAAAAATATAAACACAGTTTCCTTTATTCAAGACTATTAATAGCCTTTGTGAGTGAAGGTAAGAAATTAATATTTATATTAATGAAAAATTTCTGTCTTGGCCATAGACATAAGAAGCCAGTCAATTACTCACAGTTTGAGGACTCTGATAGTGATGGTAAGTAGAATTTCTTATTTTTGCTTAAAAAATTTGGACATTTATTTCATCAGTATTATATAATACATATAGCTCAAATATTAAATATTCCCCAATTGTATTATGAGGTAGGTCTGAAAAAAATAAGGCCTTTAAGAAAGGTTAGGCTTGAACTCTGCTGTATTTATTATATGTTTACTTGTCTCTGCCTTAAGAGAACTTTGATTCAAAAGTTTGAGAAACATTAGAGTATAGTATACTTTGAAGTAGGCTTTGTCTCTTTTTCTTTTCATGGTGCTTGGTCTCAAACACAGGACCTCACAGATGCCAGGTAGGTGCTATACCACTGAGCTGTATCCCCAGTCTAGAATTAGATTTTATATTTCTTTCCCAAACCATCCAAGTTTTCTGTAAATATTTTAGTAATTCCAAGGTTTGATGGAAACTCTTTGGCTTTGGGCATAGCCTTCAGTGCTTACAACTTGAGAAAAAAATAGTATAGAATATAACTTTGAGATTTTTGTTATAGTCATTGGTCAGCAGATATTTATAAATTGCCAGTCGTGTTCTGCATACTGGGTGGGGTGGAGGTGCCGAAAGTTGTAAATTACTGTATTCCTATGTAGGGAAGCATAAACAAGACAGCATATGTTAATAATTGCTAAAGTATGTGATTAAGACTGCATGGACCCTGAAGGTATACATACATATGTTTAAAAGCCACAGTAGCAGTTTTATAAGTGTCAAGAGAAGAACAACAGTTGTGAGGTGTGACTGGACAGAAAAATCTGTGAGAAACAATATTGGATTGGAAAAGAACATTCCTTTTGTAGGAATTAAGAAGTTTCTTTGGTAGGCTCATAGGAAGCTTATTATGGTAATGGAAAGAAAACTAAACAAAACAAAAAACTGCTACTTCTAGAAAAATTCTCTTCCCTTGTGATACTTCTTACTTTCCTTAGCTTGGTTAATGTACTAGGAATAGGTAATGTGCCTTTGGAAAAGTATTTGCCTACCTTGTGAAGTTTCATTAAAAATCATTAATAATCCCAGCTACTTGGAAAACTGAGGCGGGGGATCACAAGTTTGAGTCCAGCCTGGACAACTTAGTGAGTCCTTGTCTCAAAATTAAATAAAAAAGCCTGAGGATATAATTTAGCATTGTGGTAGACTTCTTTCCTATCATGTGCAACGACCTGGGTTCAATCCTTAGTATGACATAAAAATACATTTCCACTTTTCAATGTGATAAAAATTTACAGTTTTTCTAATGGTCTTACAGGTTTTTAATTAATCATTTTTTCCTTGAAACCCTTTGCAATTTATTTATTTTTTAGTGAACTGTTTTTTATAGATTAATATTTTAAAAAATAAAGGCCACCTAAACAATAGGAGTTGGGTGAGAATAAAGACAAACAATACCAATGAAGATTTTTTTTTAAATTTTTATACCTTTATTTTTATGTGGTGTTGAGGATCGAACCCAAGGCCTTGCATGTGCTAGGTGAGTGTTCTACCACTGAGCCACAACCCTAGCCCCACCAATGAAGATTTTTAAACTATAGAAATTAAATAACTTGCTTACCTATAAAACTTGAATTCCAACTAAAAAATAACTTTATTTCTTTTCTTTTTCATTTACACATAAATAGATGATTTTGTTTCTGCAACTATACCTTTAAACAAGAAATCCAGAACAACATCAAATGAGTCAAAACAAGATAAACCAAAACCTATGAAGAATCCCCAGAAAGAAGACATTCAACTACAAGACAAGACCCCTAAAAAAAGGTGAGAGGTAAGACAGTAAATATATGACATTAGATGTGTTTATTTAAGAGACACAGTTTCAAATTCTCAGTTTAAATTAGAATTTGAGCAGAGTTATAGATCTTGTTTAGTGACTGTCGGAGGATAGGGACATTAAAGACTATTAAACTCTCTTCTTATTTTAAAAAGGAATTCATAAACATGTGTCCCATTAAATATTGAGACAATAATAATTATGGACCTGTGCCTGCGTCTGCAGTCCTCAAATCTTACAAGACTACTTTTTAAAAAGTTACACTTTTATAAAAAGTTGAAAAATTTTTAAACCATGTATTTTTCTGCAGATAAATGATACTTTTCCTTTCCTGTGACTTGTCCAACAGTGAAGAGATCCTGTAATTCCTAGACTAAATCTGGAATTCCATTAATTGGTATCAAGAGGGAAGGGAGAGTGATGGAAAGAAGTTCTGAGAGACCCAAAACTTGTCATATGGGGAGGAGATGGGGCAAAGAGAACTATTAACTGGCACTTGGGATATTTTACTGCTAGAAGTTTCTCTATCCCATGTCATGATCTACATTTTTCATTCTTTGTTTTTGAGTTTCTCGTATATTAAACATAGTGAAACAATAGCCCATAGATGGGAGAGAATATTTGCAAATGTATAACTTAGAGACACTTGCATCCAAAGTACATTAAGAACTCAAACTCAACAGTAAAAAAGCCAGTAACCCAATTAAAATGTGCAAAAAATTTGAATAAGCATTTCTCTAAGGAAGATACACAAATAACCAATAAACACATAGAAAGATGCTTAACATCATTAACTGTCAGGGAAATACAAATGAAAACCATAGTATGATACTACTTCATACCCTCTAAATAACACTATTATTCGTAATAGCCAATAAATGGAAGCAATCCAAATGACTATCAATTACTTAGTGGAGAAATAGGATATATCTAGACAATGTGTTATTTGGCCATAAAAATAAATAAACTATTGATATATGCTGCAACATGAATGAACCTTGAAAACATTATTATGAATGAAAAAAAAAACAGACACAAAAGATCACATATTATATGATTCCATTTATATGAAATGCCTAGAATAGGTAAATACATGGAAATAGAAAGTAGATTTGAGGTTGCCAGCGACTTGGGGAGGGATAAGTGGATATGGGGTTTCTTTTTCAGGTTCTGAAACTATTCTAAAATTAGGTAGTGATGATGGTTTCACAACTTTGATTATACTAAAATCTGCTGAATTGGAAACTTTACAAGTGTGAATTTTATGGTATGTGAATTATGTCTCAATAATATTTATTGTAAAAATAATAATCCTTCAAGGTAAACTTTAGTACTTCTTTCTTTTTATAATCTTTCCTCATCTATCTCTGATTTTTCTTCCTCTTATGCTTCATAGCACTTTTGACCAACTTGAATAGGAGACTTACTGCTTTATATGAGATAATAAGTTGTATGTCTTCTGTCCCCACCTTTCTCATTACCATTACAGACTCTTGAGGGTACTTTTAGTATTCTCGGTAGTGCAGTGTCTATTTAAGTCTAGATTGGGAGGAACATATGTAAAAACAATTTTTTTTTTTTTTTTTAAATATAAGAACTGTAATGTCTATTAAAGGGGTGTGGATGAGGTCAAGTAAGCTATCTAAGTGGAAGTGACCTTGGAACTAAGTCTGCCTTAGGTTGCGCAGGTGCTTCCTGGATAGAGCTTATGTTAAAGAGAGACATTACAATTATAGGGAACAGTAAGTTCAAAGGCACACAATGTTCCTTCAAACCTGTTAGGATATATATATGTTTTATTTATATATATATATATATATATTTATACTTTGTTACATAATATAACATATATAACCTAACAGGTTTGAAGGAACTCTGTGTGTGTGTGTGTGTGTGTGTGTGCGCGCGCATAAAACATTTTAGAAGTCTTATCCTCCAAGGTCAATTGATGATGGTTATTACTTAAAAACATTTTTGTTAGGTTAGGAGCTCTTAAATAGTAATGTAAGAAAATCTCAAACTTTGCTCTTTTGTTGAGATTGATACTTTTAGAAACACTTTATTTGCTTGTCTATTTCAGGATGACCTTAGATGACAAGCTCTTCCAGAGAGGCTTAGAAGTGGCTCTAGCTTTGTCAGTGAAGGAACTTGCAACAGTCCCCAATGATGTACAGAAGTCTCAAAATAAAAGTAACTTTGTTTTTTGTATATTTATCATTAAAAGCTTATTGTTTTAATAATCATTACTTGGGGTGGGCCTTCATAGTTGAAAGAATAAAATTTGAATACTTTGAACTATAGATAGAACAAATTACAGAGGGTATAATTAGATTCATTTCTTGATTCAGCAGTGTCAATTTCATACAAATGTATACATCTCTGCCTAGAACCCAAGGTAAGATTGGAGACATACACTATGAACCTGGAAGGTCAATTACAACTTGATATACAATGAAAATTTAATTTCTTGATCAAATGACCTATATACTTCTAGTAGTCTACCCCTTTTGTTTTCCCAACCCCAATTTTTTTTTTTCTGTGTTAAAATAGTTAAACATGACCTAATCATGGTCATTTTTTATTACTGCCAAAGGTTTAAAGGTACTAATTTGGTTTGCAGGTTCCATAGATTTAAGAGAATGACTTCTGAATCTCTCTGTGGGTTTTCTTCATTGATTTTTTTTTTTTTTTTTTTCCTGGTAATAGTGACATTCTAGAGAGATGGAAAAGACACTTGAATTCCTAAAATGCTTTTTGGGTTAAATTGTTTTGGATTAAATTCTTTTATTTAGGGGGATAAGTGAAGTGTTTTTTAAATCAGTATTGCCTCTTATTTAAACAAAGCAGTTTGATTAGGGAGATTTTTAGGATTAGAAATCAAAAAACTTCAAAAGAGAATTGTTATGTATTATATCTAAAATGGAGAAAATGAAATTTATCTCTTAAAAGACATTATAGAATGCGTAGTAGGAGTTTCTTATAAGTACCACTTCCATTGAATGATACAATTCTTAGCATTGGTATTTAAAAGTACCTGTTATCATGACTTAAAAGCCTCTTAAAATGTTTCATTTAAAGGTTATTGTAATGATTAGAGAGAATGAAAGTTAGTAAAAGCATGTCTTTGCCTACACAGAAGTGATAGTTAATATTTATTGATTATTTCCTATGTGTTGTGCAACATAAATTTACATCTAATCTCCCATACTAATCCTATGATACACAATTTTTATCTTCCTGTTATCGATGAGGAAATTAAGTCTAAGGATAAGCCCATTTATGAGCATGAATTTGAACCTAAGTCTTTTTGATTTCAGACCCCAAACTCTTAACTATATGCTAGCCTCTCCAAGTAAAATCACTGTGCTAGTTTGGGTTTCAGATCATTTATCAGTATCTAGATGCTATTACATTTTAGCACTAATCTTCCTATAGATATCAGTTTATTAAGATGCATCTGAATTTTTTCTTATTCCTAATATTTAGGCATTGAAAAACATGGCAACAGTGAAATAGAAATAATGAACAAATCTCATATATCTAATTGCAGTGTAACCAGTGATTATTTAGGTAAGTTTTTGATGGTACATTTTTTTCATCCGCAATGCTATTTTTCTAACGTTTATTTAAATTCCTGAAACTGTGACTAGAATCAGATCTTTAAATGGTAAAGACTCTCTTCTCTCTTGACTTTTGTTTCTCTAAGTTTTAGTCTTGTCCTCTTAACTACTACATATCCACTTTCTTCTCTGTTGGAGTGTCATGACTACCCATGGCTTTTGGTCCTCAGCAGTTGACCACTGAAGATAGGGACTGTATCTTCTCAGTTCCATTTTGAAAATTCTTGGGGAAAGACTATTGAATTCATCTTTAAAACTGGAGTCTATTGCCAGCGTACTGATGTGCTGTGAGTGACCCAGCTAGGACAATGTAGTCTATTACTAGGAACAGGGGAGGGATGAACCTGAGCAAGTAAGACGGTTGTCATGTCTGCTTTGCTGTTCTTGAAATATTAGCTACAACAAAGTTTTCCATTGATGTTTATGCCTCTCCTGAAGATTTGGACAAGATCACAGAGGAAGATGATGCTCGTGGTGTTCAAGGGAAAAGAAAAGCAGCATCTAAAGCTGTGGCTCAGCAGAGGAAGATGCTTTTGGAAGGCAGTGATGGTGATAGTGCTGATGACACTGAGCCAGACATCGCAACTGGTAAGTTACACTTTGCTTCAAAATTAACTCTTCTGAAATTCAGTAAAAGTTCTTGGAGGCCATTAATGTGTGCAGAACACTGTGCTAAATATTTAGGGTATGCAAACTTGAGGAACAAATAGGACAGCTAAATGCAATTGTGGCATTTTGGGGAAAAGCTTTGGGTAAGAGATCATCTTTCAGCCATGCCTTGAAAAATGAGGATCTTTTAGATCAACTAAAGGGATAAAATTGTATTTCTGAATGATGAAAAAGCATGCAGAATGGAGTAGACAAGTGTACATACCAGAGTTTAGGCAGTGCTTTTTTTCTAGGACCACTACTGTACTTTCCATATTACATCACTGGCTTATATTATCTCATGCAGTACAGGAAAGAGCATGTGGGAAATGAGGGTTAATAAGATTGTTGTGGTATAGTCTCTTCTCTATTCCAGAATGTTGAAGCATATGTAATTAAGTGAAGGTATATTGTTACTTTCATAAATGTCATGATTTTCAAAAACTAGCTTTTATACTCTATCCTTCTTTTCAAAAATTATTGAGAATTGGATGGAAATGGTGGTGCATGCTGAGGCAGGAAGATTGTAAGTTTGAGGCAGCCTCAGTAACTTAGCAAGAACCTGTCTCCAAATAAATAATAAAAAGGGTTGAGAATGTGGCTCATCTCCTGGTCCAATCCCTAGGATCAAACAAACAAAAAGTTAGTGAGTTAAACTAGTAAAATCTGAAGTAAAAATTACTGATGGAAAATTATAGTGATAATGGTAATAGATAACAGTTGTGTTTGATATATGTCAGAAGTTGTTCTCATAAAATTGGCATAATGTCCCCATTTTCAAGAAGAGGAATCTGAAGCACTGTAAAGTTAGTAACCTGTCTGAGTCAGACAACATGTATAAGGGGTTGGGGGAAAATGATTCCAAGCCGCCTGTTTCTCAGTTTCAACACTGCAGTGTTCTGCTGCTGGAAATGGTAGAGCACAGCGGTGCCCAGGAATCTGATGCAAAAGCTGCAAATAAAGTGGATTCACCAGAAGCTTCATTGTTTTAGAACAAAGTATATATAATTTTGTTATATATTTTATATATATAATCTTCTGTTTTAGGTGATGATTCTGAGGAGGATTCTGATTTTGATGAGAGTGAAGATAATGATGAAGACTTTACTATGAGAAAAAGTAAAGTTAAAGAAATTAAAAAGAAAGAAGTGAAGGTAAAATCCCCAGTAGAAAAGAAAGAGAAGAAATCTAAATCCAAATGTAATACTTTGGGTAAGCTTGGTCCCAAATACTTAATTTTATAAAGGAAATGTATTGGGTTTGATTGCTGCAAATTTCTTGTCATTGCCTTTGCTCACCTTAATATTTTATTTTTAGTTAAAATATAAAAGAAAGCAGCGTAAGAGGAGGTGGGAAAAAAGCAGATGATGATTCTGAGTCCCCCCTAACTGTGCTAGCACTAAATATGTATTTTCATGCTTTAGTACAGCCACCTGCTGTGAACTCCATCATCACCTGTATCTTATGATGAGAAGACTGAGGCTCAGAGGTTAAATATTCTTTGAAAGTCTTTTTTTTTTTTTAAGAGAGAATTTTTTTAATATTTATTTTTCAGTTTTCGGTGGACACAACATCTTTATTTTATTTTATGTGGTGCTGAGGATCGAACCCAGTGCCTCGTGCATACCAGGAGAGCGAGCTACCGCTTGAGCCACATCCCCAGCCCCTCTTTGAAAGTCTTACATCTAATAAGTGAGGGGCTGGAATTTGAATGTAGTTTGTCAGTTCAGAAGATGAACTCTTATCTCCTAGATCACATTTTCTCTGGGCAATTAAACGGGGCAGCTTGAATGGTTCTAATTTCTTGCTTTTGTGCTTGGCCTACTCTTCTATTTGAGAGATCTTTGTCCAGATGTTTAGGGCACTTTTGATTTTTGTTTTCCCAAAACAAATCTAGTTAGAAACCATTTTTATAGTGAAACTTGGAATTTGTGATGACTTGAACATGGAATACCTGTTTCTTGTGTTAAAAAAGTTAGGATGTTTTTTAACTCATCATTTTATAATAATTATTGTAAAAGATAACATTCTTTAAGTAAATTTGTTTTATTATTGCTATCAACTTTTCTGTCTTAGTTTTTGTATGCATATGTATATTTATTATTTGAAACTACAGTTTCTACTGGTCAGATTTTAGGATTTGCTCTCACATTAAATAGCATGGTGCTAAGTACTTACTAAGAATTAAATAAAAGTTAAATACCAGTTGAGTCATATTCTTCCCTCTGTTCTATTTTGAATTAGTAACCTTTAGATTAGAATGTTTTTTAAATTGACAAATTCATCTGGTTTCCACATGTTAAAATTTAAATGTAGGAGCTTTTAGAGATAAAACTGTTAGTTTCCTAATACTGTTATAACAGATTACCCCAAACTTCGCTTCAAACAACACAGTAATTATTTTACAGTTCAGAAGTCCAAAGAGTTCCTCAGAGGGCTAGAATCAAGCTGTCAGCAGGACTGTGTTCGTTTGTGGAGCTCTAGGGGAGAATATACCTTTTGCCTTTTCCAGCTTCTGGAGGGTCTGTGATCCTTGGCTTGTAGCTCTGTTCCATCTGGACTTTCTCACATCATGTCAATCTAATGTTGACTCTCTTAAGGACCCTAGTGATTACACTGTCCAGATTCAAGATAATATCCTCCACAGGTCCTAACTTAATCACATGTGTACATAAGGTAGCATATTCACATGTTCTGGAACTTAGAATATAGTCATCTTTGAGGGGCCATTATTTTGTGTACTACTAGGTATAGTAAGAAAAAATGATTAGGTATTTGTGCTTTTTCACCAACCCACACTAAAAACTAAAATTTCAGTTTTCCTTGGGATTTACCATTTAAAGTCTTTTCTGTATATCTTGTAGCAAGTTACTTTGCAAGAGACATTAGTATATAATGTTGAAAATAAATTGTATTTGTTAAGTAAGAATGAGGAAAAGTGGATTATATTTCTAGTCCTATTAATGCATTGCTTAACTTTTGAGAAATTTTTATTGATTTTTTAAAAAAATGAATGACAGCGGAATGCATTACAATTCTTATGACATATACAGCATAATTTTTCATATCTCTGGTTTTATATAAAGTATGTTGACACCAATGTGTGTCTTCATACATGTACTTTGGATAATGATGTCTATCGAATTCCACCATCCTTGCTAATCCCCTGCCCCCTCCTTTTCCCTCCCACCCCTCTGCCCTATCTAGAATTCATATATTCTTCCCATGCTCCCCCTCCCTACCCCACTATGAGTCAGCCTCCTTATATCAGAGAAAACATTGGGCATTTGTTTTTTTGGGATTGGCTAACTTCACTTAGCATTATCTTCTCCAATGCCATCCATTTACTGCAAATGCCATGATTTTATTCTCTTTTATTGCTGAGTAAAATTCCATTTTGTATATATGCCACATTTTTTTTTTTTTAATCCAATTACCTATTGAAGGGCATCTAGGTTGGTTCCACAGTTTAGCTATTGTGAATTGTGCTGCTATAAACATTGATGTGGCTGTGTCCTGTAGTATGCTGTTTTTAAGTCTTTTGCGTATAGACCAAGGAGAGGGATAGCTAGGTCATATGGTGGTTCCATTCCCAGATTTCCATACTGCTTTCCATAATGGCTGCACCAATTTGCAGTCCCACCAGCAATGTATGAGTGTGCCTTTCTCCCCACATCCTCGCCAACACTTATTGTTGTTTGTCTTCATAATAGCTGCCATTCTGACTGGAGTGAGATGATATCTTAGAGTATTTTGATTTGCATTTCTCTAATTGCTAGAGATGATGAACATTTTTTCATATATTTGAACATATTCATATATTCTCTTCTGAGAAGTGCCTGTTCAGGTCCTTGGCCCATTTGTAGATTGGGTTATTTGGTTTTTTGGTGCTTAGCTTTTTGAGTTCTTTATATATGCTAGAGATTAGTGCTCTACTGATATGTGAGGGGTAAAAATTTGCTCCCAGGATGTAGGCTCTCTGTTCACCTCATATTGTTTCTTTTGCTGAGAAAAAGCTTTTTAGAAAATTTGATTCCATCCCATTTATTGATTCTTGGTTTTAATTCTTGTGCTATAGGAGTCTTATTAAGGAAGCTGGAACCTAATCCCACATGATGAAGATTAGGACCTACTTTTTCTTCTATTAGACGCAGAGTCTCTGGTTTAATTCCTAGCTCCTTGATCCACTTTGAGTTGAGTTTTGTGCATGGTGAGAGTAGGGGTTTAATTTTCATTTTATTGCATATGGATTTCCAGCACCATTTGTTGAAGATGCTATCTTTTCTCCAATACATGTTTTTGGCACCTTTGTCTAACATAAGTTAGCCACTAGCTACATGTAGGGTTATATTATATTTAAGTTAATTAAAATTAAATAACATTTGAAAGCCAGTTTCTCAGTTTTGCTAGCCACATTTCAAGTATTCAAAAATAGTATGTGGCTAGCAATTACCATCTCTGATAACACAAAATATAGAAAATTTCTACCATAGAAACTTATGCTGGACAGTCAGGGGTTATGGATGTAACATTGGGAAGAGTATGTAGTGAATGTGTTCATATTTGTATACATTTAGAAACCCCTTAGGTATCTTAAAACAAGCATTGTCTCAAAGTGAGATTCTGTTCTACCTCTCTTTTTGTCCTCCTTCCTCACCTCCCACCCCAGCAAAAAGAACACAAACCTGCTCCCATTCTTACATTCATTCTCAAAGTAAACAATGGCCTCAAAGCTGTTCCCCATGAGAGGAACTTGCAAGTTATAGATTATTCTTCATCTCCATCACCACCTCCCCACATCTAATTACTAAAACATGTTTAATTGCTACTATCCCCTCCCTTCTCCACCTTAGCTCAGGCTCTCATCACCTCTCCTGGATTACCATAATAGCTTTCTGAGTGGTCTATTTGCCTTACATTACCACCAGGAAGATGCTTTCAAAATGCAAGTTACTCCTCAGAAAATTTAATACATGATTGTGGATCAGACTCCTTTATATGGCTTGTAAAGCTCTTCATAAGTGATTGTACCCTGATTGTGTCTCTCACCTTTCCTATTCTTAAGATTCCTGCTCCAGACATACTGAACCAGTACTGGTCCTGGAACTTGTTATACTTTACAGCTTTGCATTATGCTGTACTCCCTCTGCCTAGAAAATTTCCCTCAATTCATCTTTACCCTTTAGCCTTTAGTTCAGCCCAGCCTCATCCCCCTCCTGTGACTTCTAAACACATACCAGGTTGTAAGTTCCCTTCCTACTGGGTATTCTTCTAGAGAGTGACATGTTCCTTCGCACACTGCGTTGGACACAGCTCTTTCCTGTCTTTCCTAGGCCAGTGACAGAACCACAAATTCCTTGGGAGTAGGATTCATGAGTTATATAAACTTTTTGTAATCCCAGAGCCTATTGACTCCCTGACACATACTGATGAGACACTATTGTGTAATGGTTACAAGAATGAATTTCTGGTTCAAACCTGGTTTCTAATCCCAATTCAGCATGTAGTAGGTGTCAAACTACAGGCAAATTGCTTAACCTCTGTTTCCTTTTCTGTATTATAGTTGCTGTAAAAACTGAAGGGTAGTGTGTGTGAGACCACATTGCCTGGCATAAAAATTTTCATAGAAGATGGCAGTCCTAACCAGGTGTGGTGGCTCACACCTGGCATCCCAGCAACTTGGGAAGCTGAAACAGGAGGATTGCAAGTTTGAGTTCAGTCTCAGCAATTCAGCGAGGCCCTAAGCAAGTTAGCTAGACTATCTCAAAATAAAAAAGGCAAAGGCTGGGGATGTGGCTCAGTAGTAAAGTGCCTCTGGGTTTAATCCCCCGTACCAAAAAAAAAGAGAAGGCAATCTTGAAGCTTTCAGTAAAAATTTCTTGACTTGTTTTTCAAATTTGATATTGCCTTTTTAATTTTATATGGTTATGAAACTTATAATTTTTATGCATACATGCTAGACTTGAACTATCTTCCCAATGACAAGCTTCTTTGTGTGTATTTTTCAAATAAGTGATTTCAGTAGACTCTGCTGCAGCTGCTATCAAATCAGAATCTCAGACTTTACCCGAGGAGGCTTATCATTCTTTGGAGGTCACTAGGAAACCATTGCAAATACACAGTCCTTCAGCTGAAGTCAAGAGACCGAAGTGGGTCCCACCAGGTATGGTATATTTGCGATCAAGGGCAAGGGGTTTAGAAAATTACCAGTGGTAGATTCTTTTCTCCCTAGTTCTAAATGTTATATGTGAGCTTTTCCCCATATTACTGTATAGTCTTCAAAACCATTGTTTTTAATTACTGCATTTTTATATCTATTAGGCATCCAGGTCATATATGATTTTTTTTTCATTGTTATAAATAAGTTTGCCATAAGCACAGACATCCTTATTGTAGAAATCTGGCATATCGCTGATTATTTTCTTAGGGTAAAAGTACCACTAGTAGAATTATAGGGTCAGCAAGTGTAAACATTTGAGATTCCTGATATTTATATTTCTGATAACAAAAGTCTTTTGTGCTCAGTACCTGCTGACCTCTGCATTCTTATCAAAGCTTTGGGGTTTGTAAATGGGAATTCCAGCATTTAACAAATACCTTAGTAAACTCAGCCTCTGGCTCTTACAAATTTGACTTCTCTTTGTTTTCTTTTGCTACCCAGCCAAATCTTACTGATCCTTTAAGAATTTCCTGGACCTAGCTGGGTGTGGTGGTGCACGCCTGTGATCCCAGTGGCTCTGGAGGCTGAGGCAGGAGGATCACAATTTCAAAGCCAGTCTCAGCAAAAGTGAGGTGCTAAGCAACCCAGTGAGATCTGGTCGGTCTCTAAGTAAAATACAAAACAGGGCTGGGGATGTGACTCAGTGGTTGAGTGCCCCTGAGTTCAATCCCCAGTACAAAAAAAAAAACAATTCCCTGGACTGGACTTCAGCTTCATCTAGGTCGAAAATATTGCTGCGGCCCAACCAGTCCTGTGTCCACTTTCATCCAATTACATGAACCGTCTACTTTAGTCAAATTGTCCATTTTCTATCCCTTAAACACATTGTATGTATTCTTCTACCCAGGTCTCTATCATATTTCTGTCCCCTCTCCCTTTTGGAGTCCTTCCAAACCTACTCAAGGTTCACTTCTTTTGAATGATCTTTTTTGATTGGCCCAAAATTAAATGCTGGTCTCTTCCTGAATGATGGCTAGGTATTAACATACAGAGTTAGGGCTCAACTGTGAGGCTACATGATTACTTGGTTTACCTGAGTCTTCATTTTATTATCAGAATTATGAAGAACTAATATAATGTTTAAAGTTCTTTCTGGTTAAGATTTTCAATGAGGACTTTAAAGTTTTTAGAGAAGGAAAGGTGGGAAAGTTAGTTACTGAAATAATGATACCATATCATTCAAAAAGTAATACTAAATATATTTTTTTCTGTAAATAATTAGTGATTCCTCAATGGAAGAAAAATTTTTTAAATGGTATGACTATATAAGTTAAAAAGTAGCATGATCAAAAAAATTAAAAGGAGATAGTGAAATGATGGGTAAAGAGTTAATATCATAAAGCACACAGTGCTGACAGATTGAGTATGTGATAGGGCAGACAAATGATAATGGGTGAACAGGACCCCTTGGACTTGAGAGCTTCTGCCCCTCTTGAAGGAAGCAGAGCTACTCAGCTCCATCGGATTGTTTGTATGCAGGGAGATAGGTTGGTACATACAGATCTGATATTTTCAAGAGAAGCCAGAAATTCAGATTTTAATATGAAATCTCCTCATTTTTAAATATGACCTTTTAAAAAACCATGTAGACCAAACAGAATTTTTTTTTTTTTTGTACTGAGATTGAACCCAGGGGTGCTCAACCACTGAGCCACATCCCCAGCTCTTTTTGTTTTATTTAGAGACAGGGTCTCACTGAGTTGCTAAGTACCTCACTAGATTGCTAAGGCTGGCTTTGAACTCTTCAATCCTCCTGGCTCAGTCTTCCCGAAATAGCGTATCTGAAAGCTAGATTTGGCCCTAGGTTGCCAATTTGTTGCCTGTCTTATTCAATTTGAGAAAACCATCTAGAACCCAAAGGAAAAATGAACCAGGGATATAAAAATCCCAGTTCTTCCAAGAAATACAACAATGAAAAATGAAGAGTTTCACTCTCATTAGTAATTAAAGAAGATCTATTTGCCATTTAAAAACTTGTTTAATACTTGAAAAATAGATTCTTTTCAAGTAGTACTTATAAAAATTGTAAACTTTAAAAATACATGAGTTTTTTTTCATTACTTTAGAAATTATAGTTGTCTCTATTTCTTTATGCCTTTACAACCGAATTATTTTTCATTTCAGCTTTGGTTCATTACCTTGCCTTCTGGGGATAGTTGAAAATGGGCAATACATTGAATTTCTCTTATCCGAGGTGCTTGGGACCAGATTGTTTCAGATTTTGAAGTTTTTCAAAGTTTGGATTTTCACATTAGGGGTGCTCTCCCTATACTCTATTCTTTCTGTCATTTAGTACTTGCCATTATTTTGAATGTTTATTTTATTGCTTGATAGACTGTGGAAAACAGAACAGTGCTTAACTATTTTTTTATTTTGTTTTGTTTTAAGAATTAATCTTTGTTAAGAGATTTCTGACATGATTTGTGTTACATCTTGTGTTTTCTTTTAGCTGCATCCGGAAGTAGCAGCAACAGCAGCAGTCCAATGGCAGGAGTTTCCATTAGGTCCCCAAATCAGAGTCTCCGCCTTGGCTTATCCAGATTAGCACGAGTTAAGCCTTTGCATCCGAATGCCACTAGTAGCCGAGTGTGGTAGCAAAGAAATGTTTGATAGAATAACAGTTTTAAAAGTGTATTTATATTTCACTTGTGTTTAAGATTAAGGAGGGTATTGTAATATAGAAGAATCCTTTAACATGTCACATAAATGATCTTAATCTGTTTTGTGATTATGTGCTCTAAAGAGCTCTTCAAGACTTCAAAAAGAGGTTTGTTCATAAGAAATACCTTCTCATGTCATTCCTTCTGAAGAGCTGTTCTGTTTTCTTATGTATCATAAGTCATTGTCTTTTTTAGTGGTTGTCAGTTTAATGTGGAGGAAGTCTGTATCATGCGCTGTACTTTTCTAGTCACATGATGTTCCTTTGTGACACTTAAACTATTCAGAGTGTATCTGACAAAGGGAAACATTCTCATTTCTTTCAGGAGATAGTTTGAAATCTTATAAGCTACTTACTTTATATTGTCAGTTTTACTGCAAGGATGTTTGGTATTTTAACCAAATCTTATTAATAGTAAGAATAAAGAATCATTTTACATATTACAATGGATACTATACTATGGCATAAGACTCCTACTTGGAATTTGATGATTATTATATAGCAAATATAATGACATTTTATGAACTCTTCATTGTCAAAACCTTAAATAAAAGTGAAAAAGTTTTGAAGTGCTCTTTTCTTGATACCATTGCATTTATCGATCTCTAATCTACATTTCTTAATAAAATAAAATAAAAATAAGCTCTGTTGAAAACACAAACAAGGGGAAGCTATTTCTTAATCACTTTATATGAAGCTAGTACTTTAAGGAGTAGCTGTCAAGTTCTTAGTCATCCCTAATTTGATATTAGAGCTTTTCAGGAAGCTTAGGTTTGAGTTTATTGTGAATAAAAATAGTGATGATGCGGGCTGGGGTTGTAGCTCAGTGGCAGAAAGTTTTCCTAGCATGTGTGAGGCACTGGGTTCAATTCTCAGCACCACATACAAATAAATAAATGAAATAAAGGTCCATAGACAACTAAAAATAATTTTTAAGAATAGTGATGATTATATTTATGGTGAGAATTTCAACCTACTCCTGTTCACTGTTTAATAATAATTTTCAATCATGTTAAACATTAAAAAAATGTGTAATACCTATCAGTTCACATGGAACTTTCTATATTAACATGAAAAGTTAATTTTGAATTTATGATTAAAGTGAGCATTCGCCCTGTTGTACATTTTTTCTTACCTAGTATATTTTTTTTACTATCTATACTACCTCACCTACCCTATCCCACTTTTTAAACATTATTTTCCAGTTAACATAATATTGAGTTATTCTATAGTGCATGCACTTCAACAAAAACCATTAAGGGCCTGCTCTGGTTTAGGTATAGATATCATTGATTACTCATCGCCCCTAGCTTGAGAACTACTTTGTTTTGTTATTCATATTAATAGTTTCTATTTGAAATTTACCCTAAAGTATATTAAAACACTTGCCTGGCTGAAAACACTACTAACCTTTAGTTGCCAAACCCAATGTACATTTTTTCTCACCTTGTCTTATATACACTATCACACCCCAATCAAAATATTTTATGCCATTAGTTCATGTGACACCTTTCTTTTGTCATTTTCTCCCCACCTCCTGCTTACTCTTCATTATTTTGTAGCTTTCTAATCCTTTGTGTCACCTATACCATCTCTCACCACACTATCATGTTCTGTGCAGTTCCACTATACCCTCCCTGCTCTTCAAGTTTAGATGTTTTCAGACTCCAGTGATCACTACTTGTGACAGTGACTTCCAAATTACGATCATTATTCTACATCTTGATCTTGACACCAGACCTGCTGCTTGATGTTTGGCAACTGGATGTGAGTCAATCTGGATCCATCCCTCAACAACTTCCTTCCTGTAGAATTTTCTGTTGATACATGACACCTCTATCAAGGCTGTCTAAGGTGTAATCCTGGGATTCAGTCTTATATTTTGCATCTGGCTACCAAGCTTTATTTCATTTTCTAAATTTCTTGAAACTGCTTTTCCATTTGCTCTTACCCTGAAATAAAATCACATATTAATTCTAAGCAGCATCCTTGCCTTGATTTTTTTGGGGGGGCTGGGGGTGGACACTGAGGATTGAACTCAAGGGTGCTTTAACACTGTTACATCCCCAGCCCCCACCCTACCCTTTTTATTTTAAAATTTAATACAGGGTCTAAGTTGCTTAGGGGGTCTGGCCACGTGGCTGAGGCTGAGGCCTGGAACTCTAGATCCCCCTGCTGTGGTCTCCAGAGTCGCTGGGATTACAGCATGCCCCATCGCACTCAGCATCTTGATTCTCAATCTACTTTCCCTAACTTCCATAATGTGACTGGGGAATTTCCTAAAATCTGAACATGCACCTTTCTGCTTTACAGTCCTCACACTCCTTAGCCCACCTAATTCCAAGCCACTTCATATATGACTGGTCGCCATCTGCCTTTTCAATCTTGTCTCATTTGCCCCTGTATACCTTTGACCCTGCCTCACAAAACTGAGTGCTGGTACCCAGAACCAAGCTTCCACATGGGTTTGGACCTTCAGACTTGTGGGGACTTACTTGCCTTCTTTACAGGGCTATATAATATTTGTTCTTAAAGCTCAAGTTCAACTTAGCTTTCATTTGCATGTCTATTTTCTCCATGCATCAGACATTGTACTCCAGCATAAACTTCTGTCATTTAACTATAACTTTCCTTTTCATGCGTTCCTAAAACCTGGTGCAGATTAAATGCTCAAGAAAGTGTTCATTTAATGAGTACATAGAACTTTTGCTATGTACTTCCACATGCTTTTTTTGAAGAAGGAGAGGGAAGGGTTACTTTCACGTGTCTTGTGTGCTTAACCTACTTTAATCTCTCTACCCTGGATTTTGTTCAAATGTTGCCTGGTCCGTTAAAAAAAAAAAAAAAAACTGGGGCAAAAGAAGGGGGAGGAGGGGAAAGATGTGTTCTTTAGGTTGATGTAAAAGGTGATTTGGGACTGGACCAGAGAGCCTAAGCTCATTCAGCTGGAGTCACAAAAAGGGCAGATGTCGTTCCTATAGCGACGGAAGGAGGGTGTGGTCCTCCCCTTCACTCTGCAGGCCACTCACCCGATCCTCTGCAGCCCCCAGGGCAGTCTGCGCCAGTGGGATGCAGCTCCTCCCACCTCTTAACCTCACCCAGACCAAGAAAGGGCCGAGGAGGCAGAAAGGCGCGAGTCTGAGCCCCCTAGGGTCGGCTAAGTCTTTCCTGGGAAGAAGATCCGCGGCAGGAGCGGGTGGACGAAAGGTGTACCGAATGCAAAAAAGTAGACCGGCAAGTGTGGTCCGAGGAGACAGTGGGGCGGGTGTGGGTGTGCGGAGAAGGAAAATGCCTTTTTAGACCTTGCTCCCGGCAGCCTTGTCCTCAGGACGCTACTTCTGTATATTTTGCTGTTAATAGAACTTTGCAACACCAACTCCAGTGGAGTGCGGGAGATTCTAGGGAATTTATAAGACCTACCCTGAAACTGCTTCCAGCACTCACCCCAACAACTGGGCATTGAAATTTTCTTCCTCCTTTTCTGCCTCTTCACTGCAGTTTCGCTCGGAAGTAATTAGGAGTCTGCAACCACACGCCTTGCATTGATGAGGCTGTGGCTGGCATTAGCATATTCCAGCCCGCCCCTTATTCCTGGTCGCCCCTGTGCTCAGCTGGAACTCAACCCCTTGACACTAGAGTGTGTTATTGTACACTGGAGTGTGTTATTCATACATCTGAAGCAAGCTTTGCTTCTGAGTGGTGCTTGCTTCGGCTCTTAGGAGGTCCCCAATATTAGCAAGTTTTTCCTTTAAAAAGATGATGAACAATGCAAACAGAATTTCAAAGTCTAGTTATTTTGTGACATTTTCTGTTTGAAATATCCACAAGCCCGTCAGGGCTTGAGAAACTGACCCCTCTAACATGTTTTAAATAACTGCCAGCATCATTAATCATAATTCAAATTTCACTGTTCAGCTTATATTGATATAGAAAAATTCAAACCGCCTTAGAAACAACTAATATAAATGTCTTTTGTCTTGTTTGAGTGATTTCATCACCTGCATGTGGTAGGTGTGTAAATCTAGGGGTTCTAAGAAATTCTTCAAACACGGATGATACCTAATTGGTTCAGAGATTTAAACCTTCTCTGCTTTAGTCCTTATTCATGGGGGAAAAGCTAAACCTGAAGGGGATCTCTAGAAGTGCCAGCCACTGAACTTGGCCCTCTCCAACTCCATGTTGCTGCCTACAACTTGGCTAGAATGCGTGCTTCTCAAACTTGTGGAGGACCAGGAGCTGAGAGTTGTGGCTTTAGGTGACTCCAACCCCCATGTGAGTGTGGCGTGACAGCTACATTAATAAAAATACAACAACCACATCAAGGGATGCAATGGTTTCCCTTCCTGATTTAGTAATGACTAGAACACAGGTTAGGCTCCAGAAAACTGTAGCCACTTTAAGAGATCATAAAAAAATAGAAAATAGAGGGGGAACAATCACAATGCAGGCTCTGTCAGGCTTAGATCATGCTCTATCATAGGAAAAGGCATTTAAGACAACCCCCCACAATGCCAGGAGATGGGTAAGTGCACAAGAGAGTAATAATAATAATAATAATAATAATAATAATAATATTTTTCTATTTAAGGTTTGAACACTTGAGAACTCTTGAGTAGGAAGAAAGGCAGATTTGTTCTTTGTTGCTTCACAGAGAATAGCAAAGGATCAGTAGAAGATATTTTGCTCAATATCAATTATTCTTCCCACAGATTTTTATTGAGCCAACCATATGTAAATTAACAGCTAAGTGTGAAATGAGTTTCCTGGAAAAACAGTGGGCTGTGTCTGAGGAATGTTCCAGCACAGACACGTGATTGTCAAGGAAACCATAGAGAGGATTCCTGCCCAGGCAGGGAAAATGGACAAGATGTTTTTTAAAGTCTGTTACACCTCTTAAGAGCCTGGGGTCACTGAACCATGAAGAATTTCAAGGACAATGCAGAGGGGCAGAAGTGGGTGTCACTTAAATACATTAAACACATTGTTTCCATTTCAAAGAGATGCAAAGGGGCAGGGTCACTCCTACCCCTTCACTGCCACAATTTATTTTTCTTTTTTTTTCCCAGTTTTTGGGAGTAGTCAGGTTTTTTAAAATTATAATTATTGGCAAATATTGTACAAATTGAAGGATTCACTGCAATATTTCCATGCCTAT